ATGATAACGTAAGTTAGTTGTGCAAGATAACATAGCAGCAGGACATCTCAGATTATTAGGAGCCCTAGGGTGATATCAGATGTTTTCCCTTTGCTGACATCCAGGAGCAAAATGGGGGAAAGGGATGCAGTTTTGCTTATTTCTTCTGTTCCCTCCAACCCCACCCAAATCCGCTCTAGCCTCCAGAGCTAGGGTTGCCATATTTCAAAAAGTAAAAAGCAAGACACCCCAAAATTTCCACCAGACGTCAGTTCTGCCTTTGAAATGGCAGCCCTATCTAGAGCAGATTGGGGGGGTTCAGTGGAGAACGAGAATCTAAAAATAATGGTCTCTTTCTCCCCGTTTTACCGACTTCTGTCGGAGGAGAGGAAACATTGGCTATCTGCTTTGGTTGTGTCCCAAAGCATACCAAATTCTCATTAAACTGAGGAGGGTTAACAGAAGTCTTAAATTTAAAATATAACACGTTCCCCCACCCCCAAGTGTAATGTTAAAATGGATAATTTAGAAGTGACACAACAGTCAATATGTTCTTCTGCGGGTTGTCATTAATTTGGTTGGAAACACTTAATGTTTTTTCGCTTCATGTTAATATGTTGGAAACAGATATCTAGAAAATGAAGAGCCAACAGACTGGTATCTTGCACCTGTTCCGTCTGCGTTTGAAATTCCACCTACTCAACAGCTACAAATGGAACTGGGAGGGAATAGCCAAAAAGGTAGAACGTTTTGTAATTAGTTTTAATAAGAGGAAGTATGGAATTTAAAAACTGCTGTATTTTTCCATGTATAAGACACCCCCATGTATCAGACGACCTCTATTTTTTTTTAACCCAAAATCAATATTTTAAAATAGTTAGGGTTGCCATAATTAGGATGCCATATTTCAAGAGCCAGAGCCCGGACCTCTGTGCATTCACCATCCGTGTATAAGATCACCCCCCAATTTCTGACTTTTTTTAAAAGCAAAAAAACCATTGTCTTATACACAGAAAAATACGGTAATATTCAATTACTCACTTTAATGGGGGGGGGGAATGCCTACTTTTACTGAAGTATGTTGAATCATGGGCGAAGTAGACTATATGTGAAAATGCATGACTGTATTTCACACATCTTTTCTTTAAGAAAAATAACAGCCATAGTGCTGGGTGCATCATAATGGCTTACCAACCCCAAGTTGCTATTCAGCATAGGATGAAAATACCTCCCTCTCAGGTTGTCATTTGCTCCAGGAAGGAAGCTATCCAAAATGTTATCTACAGAACACTGAAGTACTATGGGGTTGCTTTTGGTTAGGCACAGCAATGGAGGATTAAAAAGAAGAAGAAAAGAAATTAAAATTTCATTTAAGTATTTTTTTGAAAAAATCTGTTTTTCTCCTACAACAAAAAAGTTCAGAGCTCTTTGCAACCCTACAAGCAGTATTGTAGGCAATAGGCCCATAGCTTATTGGAGAAAACAAGGCTTACCACAGAGCGCTTAGGTCAACGTGAAGGTGCCATTTTTATAACAATACAGAAGCAAGAATGCATTTCACTCAGTCACCTCTTAAATTACCGGTACTTTAAGGTAAGGAACAGATAGCCTCCACCCAAAGGGATTATGGATTAAAGTGAATCACTTTTACTTCCCCTCTGTATCTCTACATGGCATACACTTTGGTCAAAAGGAGGAAAAGCTTCTCCATTATAGTGAATGAGGGAACACAATTCAGTTTTATACAGAGTAGCTCTGGAGCTGATGACAGAGTGAAGCAGAGAGAAAATACAGGGTGACTCTGGAACAGATCAGGATTTTTTATTTAAAAAAACACCAATATAAATACTGTATAGGCCAGATATCGGGGCCTGTGCATGACCATAATAAATGAGGGATTTTAAGGATTGTCAAGCTGAGAAAGTGCAAGAAAACATTGAGAATAGGGACATGAAATTTATTTTATTTTATTTTATGCATGTTTTGTTGAATCAACTTCTTGGTAGCCATTGTATTCTACATTTCTTTTCCTTTTGCAAGTAGCTTGCACAGAGCAAATGACTTGCCCTCTTTTAAGAGCATTACTAAGGGATAAAATCCTAAATATTCTACATGATTACTTTGCTATGAATTCTACCAGGCAAAGCCTATAGGAGTTCAGTTAGTGGAGGCAGGTAAGTTATTTTCAGGCCAATAGTCGGGAGTTGGTCCCATTGTTCCTCTATGACCTTGATTAATATGAAAACAGAGCTTGTTAACTGTCTTGTAGAAAACCTTTAAAAAAATAAACTATTAATTAATTTTCCAGAAGAAGATGGTGATGAAAGTGCCTGCTCAACATTCAGGAAAAGGTAGGCTTTTTAAAGCCAATTATAATAATTCATCAAATATCAGAACCATATTATTTTAGATACATTTGTCAAAGACTCAGTTTTTGATCTTTGAAATGAAAGTGCTTAATAGGGCTCCAGGCAATTGTGTTAATATTCTTTTGAATGTGAGAAAACTGGGATAGTTCCTTTCGGCGGTGTTTTAATACAGTAATTAGATTTGCTCTAGGCACAACCCTTTTTTACAAGGATTTAAACACAGGATTTAGTTTATTACTTTAGTTAAGAGGCAGCTGATGTACTACCAAACACACTCTTAAAATTCCATACAAAGACATGGTCCTTGGCAGCTCACAGATATACTAGTTTATTTTTATACTTTAAGCTGTCACAGGACATGCATGTAATCCAACTTTAAGAATCAATCACAGGATAATCATTACTTTAATAGGAGTGGACTTCACTCTTTGCCAGTTTGTTGCACCAGACTAGAACTGTACTTTTCAGAAATGCGTCCTGAAAGTTCAGTTAACTCTAAGATATTTTGAGTCTACTTGAAAGCTATCTAGGTGACAATGAATGCTGATTCTCAGCCCATTTCAGAGATGGTGCTCCTCTTTTTGGATGTGTAGAATCCAGTGGGTTTTCTTTAATTAATGACAATTACCACAAATATTGAAAGTAAGAACTAACAAGCAATGAACTACAAGTAAGCAGCTCTTTGAAAGGGAAAGATTGTTGCACCCTGGCTACTTTTCCATTCTTCTTGAATTATTCCTGTCCAGATGTTTATTTTTATATTTATTTATTTATTTATACATACAACTAAAATGCCGCTTAACATAAAACAACTCTATGCAGTTTGCAAGAAGAAGTAAAGTCATAAAATCACAGCAAAAATCTAAGAGATACATCAGGGGAGCTCTTTTTTTAGCCTGAGGGTTGCTTTCCTTTCTAGGCAATCTTCTAAGGGCCACCTGCCAGCGGTAGGTGTGGCCAGAGGCAAAGGTAGGCAGAGGTACGAATGCACATCTTACTTTTGTACTGTTGGCTAGTATCTGCACACACTCGCACGCTTCTCTTGACCCTCCATCCAGATGAGCAAGAGCATCATCAGAGCTCAAGTACACATTCCAGCAAGGCAAAGACACAGGGTTCAAAATAGGGCCATGGATGGATGGGACCTGGGGATAGTTGTGAAGGCTGAAGGTCTTTGTCACCTGGGCCTGGTGTTCCCTATTTCTCAGATGCATAGTAAAACGCTAAATCACAGAACCAATCAGCACAATCTGGGGAAAAAATGTTTTCAACAACCAGAGAAAGCCTGAATAAAGAAATGGGTTTTAAAAACATACCACATTTGATGCTTCCTAAATGGGGACTATGGGGACGCGGGTGGCGCTGTGGGTAAAACCTCAGCACCTAGGACTTGCCGATCGCATGGTCGGCGGTTCGAATCCCTGCAGCGGGGTGCGCTCCCGTTGCTCGGTCCCAGCGCCTGCCAACCTAGCAGTTCGAAAGCACCCCCGGGTGCAAGTAGATAAATAGGGACCGCTTACTGGCGGGAAGGTAAACGGCATTTCCGTGTGCGGCTCTGGCTTGCCAGAGTAGCTTCGTCACGCTGGCCACGTGACCCGGAAGTGTCTGCGGACAGCGCTGGCTCCCAGCCTATAGAGTGAGATGAGCGCACAACCCTAGAGTCTGGCATGACTGGCCCGTACGGGCAGGGGTACCTTTACCTTTACCTTTAAATGGGAACTGGGTTCCAGAAGGATGATGCCACTGTGGGCAAGGCCTGTTTCCATGATGTCATGGTCATCTGGGGCCTCATCCAGTGAATATATGGGTCGTCTAGATCAGTATGAGTGAAGGTGCTTTGCTAGGTATCCTGGCATACTGTATCCCACTCACAGTATACTCTGTGACATATATTGAAATATGCAGGCAAAGCCACTGCATGTTCTTGGCGTCAAATGTAAGTGGTTTTGATGTTATGCTCAAGCAGGAAAAACAGATGCACAACATTTTCAGAGCAACATATAAAATGGAAAGACACATACCATTCCTGTACGGCTGATACATCTCACTGTGGCAGAGATGCAAAGTGTCCCACTTTGGATGTTGTGTTAGAAGTGTAAAGTCCAAAGCCACCGCAAGTCTTTCCTCTTTCAATGTCATTGTTTCTTTTATCTGTACTCAGCTATTTCACTTCCAAATCAACAGTGAATTTATATTGGAGATCTTGGTCCATGCTGCACAGCTTGATAGCCACTAAAGGAAACATGGCCCGCCAGCCCTGTATAAATGACGAGCCCAAGGCTGAATTAACTCCTTGTTTCGGTTGCCTGCCAGAGACTGCAAGAATGGGTGTGGGGAAGCTTGGTGGGTCAAAAATTGTGCGAGCCTGTTTCAAGTAACTAATAACAGGTTTGGTTTTCAGCAGGTCTTGGAAACAAAGCAATGTAAGCTGTAGTATGTAATTGCTATGTAAGTAGGTTGTAAATGTGTATATTATATGAAAATATCCCTTTGAATTTATTACAGCTTATTTAAACCAACCAATTATACATATGTAAATCCAGGCAACACTGAGAGTACCAATGCCAAGGGAGAAATGGACACGTATTGTAATATTACCAACAACAAAGAAATGAGGAAAGGAGACCTATGGAAAAATAATACGCAGTTAACTCAAGATTCAGATTTTAATCTGCTTAGTGTAAATGATATTTTTTCTGCTTATGGAAATGGAATTGAAAAAGCACAGTCATTTCCTTCTGTTTCAAAGACTTTTAGGATGGAAGGTAAATTACACATTTTCTCTGTAATTTTTCGCTACAAAGGTATTTACAACATTGGCTTCATGAATATACATTATTCATAGTTATTGCATGAACAAAACTGTAGATGGAGTCAAGAAATACACAACAATCTGCTTGAGTAATATAAAGTAAGGAACATAGTCATATTCATATAGAAGGTCAGAAGCAAATTAGAAAGAAAAAAAGATGTGAATCACAGAAAGGAACACCTAAGCCAGATAAGACAGAAGTAATTATAATGTGGTGGATTAAATGCATGTCTCAAAGAGCTTAGTGCTCTGCTATTTTTGAGGTCAGCCATGGGAACTGATGAAAAGAAAGCTATGCATTGTTCTTTCACATCTTCCTCTTCCGCTCCTCCGCATCACATTTCATCTGCATATACTACAGTGAAAAATTTCTTCAACATGTCACAAGCAATCCTTCTTCTTTCTTCCCACATTGGAAAGAAGGGCCTATAGGTAATTTGAAGGTAAATGAGGGCAAGATATAAGTATGCACTTCCAAAGAGCAGTGGTAGTCAACATGGTGTCCTCCAGATGAAGTTGGACTACAGTTCCCATCATCTCTGATCATTGACCATGGCCATCTGTCATGGATGCTTTAGCTGAAATTCCTGCATTGCAGGGGGTTGGACTAGATGAATCTTGGGGTTCCTTCCAACAGTAAGATCCATGATTCTATGACTGACCATGTTGGCTAGGGCTGATGGGATCTGGAATCCAAAAATGTCTGGAGGGCCATAGATTTCCCATCTCTGATGTACCAAACCTTATTGCCCCGGCCCTCATTGCTAGACAAGGGACTTGAACTCTCAGTGCAGTTTGTGCCAAAGTCTTTAAAGACAAGGCACAGGTTACAAGATTTAGCAGATGTAAAGGAGGTACACATACATGGCTCTTGCAAACTAGGACATGGGTCCAGCAAGCAACATGCCCCTGCACCTTCCTTTTGAAGAGACAGATGGGCACAGAACTTAGCATGGCAAGTGATCAGAGTCCCAGGACTAGGCACACAAATGGGCACTCCCCATGTGTTTTTGGGCACCGCAACATGTGTTTTTGAGCACCGCAATCTCACACAAGACAATGTCCAGCTGTGATCTCATGCATTTTTGGGTGCCATGCTCTTGCATGAGAGCATGTCCCCCCCCCCCCCGCAAATGGGAAGTCTTGGGACAGTTGATGGGTATGTGTGGACCATCAATTGGGAACCACTGCTCTAAGTCATTATTTTGTGGATACATTTGCTGTATTGAAAGATGTACAGAAACACTGTTGTAAAGAAGGGCAGTCGAGAATTTTTGTCTGCAGTCCTCAAAAAGATACTGGCTATTTGCTTTCCTAGATAAAGCTTTGGAAGATTGCAGCCTTCTATCCTGGCTTCAGACACCTCAACTGGTGTATCTACCTGCAGGATCAGTGTTATGCAACCTTTGCCAACCTGGCTGGGGCTGATGCTGGGCTTGCTTTTGGGGGTGGGGGGGAATTGTAGTCAAAAATATCTGGAGGAAACCAGACTGATGAAATTACATTCTATCCTCAGCATTTTTATTTGCGTTTTTTATTAATATTGTTAATGGATGATGATAAAAATAAAGTTTATTCACTAGGAACTACAGAAGAAGACTTGATTTTGAGACCTGTGACAGAAATCCGTATCCTTTTATGCACTACAATTATGTAAAAGTAACTTCTTGGCTGTATATTATGTAAACTATAATGTTTTTAAATATGCTTTAAGAATCTAGAAAGTAATCATGTGGCTTGGGGACTCTGTAAAGGTAAAGGTAAAAAAAGAAATATAATTGAGGAAACTTATGATTGTAGTAATGGCCATGGTCCATTGAATGAAAAATTAACATATTCACATTTTCTTAATCAACTAGCGTATGAGTATGCAGTTTAGTGGACCAGCTGCATAATGCTACCATAGCAGGCTCCAGTAGCACAACCATTATTTGGGTTTTACCCAATAATGAATAATGCTTAGGGTTGATTAGTAAATCAATATTTTGCATATGTTTTAATTTTTATTTCATTCCACCCCATATCATTTTTTTCTTTGATATTTTTCTTTTATATTTCCCCACAGCTCCAACCTTGTTAGAAATTTTCTATGTAGTTGAAGAACTGATATGCCTCCATTTAATCATTTTCCAAACAAATGTTTAAAAGTGGGAAGTTTTATTTAAATCTGTATAAAGTACTTCATTGTGAAAGTTGTATCCATTCCTAACTAAATTGTTTGACTCCTTAATATGACTTTAAGCTGCCCAGTTTAGAAATATTTTCAAAGAATTCCCTTACTTTAATTACATTCAATCCAAGGCTCTGGACGATGTAAGTATGGATTAGTTTTAACTATGCAGGTTTCATAATTATTTTTACTCTTACGGCCATGCATAAGGAAATGCCCACTGCTGATTTCATAAAAGTAGTTCCTGTGACCCGCCAAGATTAATGGTGCTTGCCATCAAGTTTGGCAGTCTACTAGGGCAGGGCAGGGATCTGGTTCCAACCAGAGGACTGGATCCAAAAGTAACTTGGGGAAAGTTATCCACCTATAAAATCACCTGACACACCATATGACTCCAACTTCAGTTTGTGACTGCAGTGGAACATTATAGCCATGGCTTCAACTACAGTGGAGAAATCTTCCTTTGCTTGCAGGCAAAGAAACAGTTTTGTGTTCACCTAGAGTGTGCCTTCCCCATTTGTCCTTTGCTGCAGCCATACCTTGAACTTTCCTGCACCTGGTATGGCTTATGAAAAATGACTTGACAGACTAACCTCTGAGGTCTGGTACGCCTAAGTAGCTCAGCAGTCCAGAGGTTCCCCACAACCAGTGGTGACTGATGTCCACTGGGACACACATATGGCAGAAGGCAGGAAGGCCAATAATAGGCAGACAAGTGGAGCCAAGTAATTCTAGTTTTGACTCATTCTCCTCCCTGCTGAGGAGGGCAACCCTGAGACTGAGGCAGAAGCTGCCACAGGCTGTGCTACCCCCAGGCCAATTTTAAGTTGGAGAATAGGCAGGTAGGGACCTACTAAAGGCAGGCTGAGATTTGTGGGGTCCTAATGGACCAGCCTCCACTTCTCACCACTTCCTAAAGGCTCGACGAATGTCTTGTTCTTGCTGCTTGCCTTGGACCCTAGGGGAAAAAGAGAATATTTGCTCAGTTGCCGGATTCTTTGGCTTGATATAAAAACAAATATAACACAAACCCTCATGGCTGCAGTCCTGTGCAGTTTTATCTGGGAGTAAGCCACATTGAACGCAGTGGGACGTAGTCTGGATAGATATGCATAGGGTTAGGTAAAGGTAAAGGGACCCCTGACCATTAGGTCCAGTCGTGACCAACTCGGGGGTTGCAGCGCTCATCTCGCTTTATTGGGCGAGGGAGTCGGTGTACAGCTTCCGGATCATGTGGCCAGCATGACTAAGCCGCTTCTGGCGAACCAGAGCAACGCACGGAAACACCGTTTACCTTCCCGCCAGAGCGGTACCTATTTATCTACTTGCACTTTGACGTGCTTTCGAACTGCTAGGTTGGCAGGGTTAGATGCATAGGGTTAGATTGCACAATTGCAATCCTGTGCACACTTAAATTGGGAGAAAGCTTCACCGAACACAGTGGTAGTTAATTTCTGAATAAATATGTGTATGATTGCACTGCAAGATAAAACAAAGTGCCAAAAGAACATTATAAATGATGGCATTTGTTGAGCATGCTGTGACCACATTACTTAACTAAAATATTTAGAACTGCAGTTTCAGAATTTCTGCAGGGTTCTTAATTTAGGCAATAACTAAAGCATTAACTAGAATGGGGTTACTATAAAGCAGGTATGGGGAATTCATTGCCTTACATATGTTGTTGGACTACAACCCACATCACCCGTGTCCCCTGGGGCTGATGGGAATTGTAGTTTTCTGGAGGGCCACAGGTTTCCCATCCCTGACATACAGTCGAGCAAACCTTTTAAAGCTTTTGGCCTTATTCTGGTAACAAAGTAGTAAATAGATAATAGGTTTATTCTTTATAACATTAGAACTTTGTACAAGTGGCTGCTTAAGCTACATATAATTTATGGAAAAAACAGATCATTAAGGGATGATTTGTTCTGAAATTGATGCTGAAGGACAAATCTTACTGTGTATTTTTAATGATAGACCACTGTCAAGGCCTATCATCTTCTATGTGCATGGCTCCCTCCTGAGACTTGAAAATGGGTTTTGTGTTAGCAACTCTACAGCAGGCTTTGCTACATAATGGCCCTAGCTGTGCCATATATTCTTCATAATTGCTCAGCGGCAGATCGCAAGGAAAAACTATTGCTTCCACTTTATCTTTCTTGTCCTTGTGTAAAGTAAAAAGTATTTGATGCATAAAAAGGTAGTCTTAAAAAAAATTGAACTTAGCTGTTACGGCATGTTGAATTCTTCAACTTTCAAATTCCAAAGTTGTAACATGACCTGGGAATTCAAAAGACATCTTGGTTAAATTAATATAATATAGTTTTGCTAGGCAAGTAAAATATGTGTAACCTTGTATAGAAATAATTAAAATTGATTGCCAAGTACTTGCAATACTATTTATTTATCTAGCATTACCTGATATTTTCAGAAGGTAAATTTGAAATTTGTTTCGTTTTCTGAAAGCAATTTATATGCTTTGACGTTGACATACCACACTAAATTTTGTCCAATAGCAAAAATAATGGCAGATTAGAATTCCTTATAGCCCCAAACCTATTTTAAACACCCCTCACTGAATAAATTTTCAAAAATTAAGTTTTACCCCATAAAATGACATGCCTTAATGACTATATCATTCATGATTTGAGTGTGTGTGCATCAATACATTAATAAATAGTTGATTGTATGCAAATTATTCCAAACCTACTTGTAAAAATATATGCACCTGATTTTGTGCTCCACTTACTATTAGTTGTTCTTTTCTAGCTCCTTTACACAGATAGAAATTTTGTGATCTGTGCACCTACCGGTTCTGGAAAAACTGTGATATTTGAGCTTGCAATTATCAGGTTATTAATCAAAGTGCAAATGCCTTGGTTAAATATTAAAGTTGTATATGGTAAGTATGCCATATGCTTAAGTTAATAATTATTAATTATCAAGAAAAAATGATAACATTATTTTGATATTTACGCATGATCGTTTTGTTGATGAATATGGACACATGTCCAAAAAAAGTTTGTCACATTGCTAAACATGGTTTATTTTTTAAATCTACATGACAGTTGTTGAAGTTGTTATTTTAGCCATCCTTCCAAACTGGAATTCCTAAATGTTCATCTGATGTCAAGACAAGGATATGGTCCTAACAGGCAAAGGCGTTGCAGGCATAGTTGGAGGCAGGTCACAGACCAAGTTTCTGAGAAGGCAGGAATCTATGATGGCAGAGGTGTAATTAGAACTGGGCCAGCAGTTCTGTCCTAGGGAAGACAGAGGGCAAAGCAGGGCAAAAGCAAGGAAATGCAGTAGGAATCCGCTGCTACTACTCATAGTGACAAGTTGCTGTGCCAAACTCTGAGATCAGAGCTGCCTTATAGCTGACAATTTCCACAGTCTAGGTGGCAGCCTTGTATTGTATTCAGCCAGGTTTGCAGCAGAGTGAGGTCAGTAATGCAGGAGGTAAAGTACCAGGCTTTGTTGGATGCCCAGGTTCAAAACACTACCCCAGTACCCTTAAGCCCTGCATCTGCTTACGAAACACAGGTTCCCCAGTATAACATGTAGTTCTGCCTTCAGAAAGTAAAGGCAAGCCCATTTCATTTATTTATTTATTTATTGCATTTAAATCCTACCCTTTTCTCTATCCAAAGGAATGAAACATACTGATTCTAACGGTTTATAATAATATTGTTACACCCCACCCCAATCTCCACGAGCGGTGAGAGATTCTAGAAAAGTTCCAGGTGTTTACCCAGGGTCTTTGTTTCCTTTTGGGCATTGAGGTACAGCAGAGACTGTGGTGTCTTTAATATATGTGGTTTATTTACACGTATATACAACCTGAGTCAGATGGTGGGAAATCCCAGCATTAAACTGATACAGAGGATCCCTTACCTCTCCCATGGGTGCCGCAGGCTGGGATCTAAAGACAGAGAGATCCTCCATGCTCCTTCTCTTTGTTACAGTCGGCCACTTTCAGCCCACATCGCATTCTGCCCCACTCCTTCCTCCTTGTCACTGCTAACCCAGTTAAACTATTTCCCTCCAGCCTATGTCATCCAAACCTGAAATCCTAAACCCTTCTTGCCTCTTGGAGGGCCCCCGCTCATTGTCTAGTACCTCAATGCCTTCTTAATTGCTTCCTTGATGGGTCAGTGACAGGCCATCACCAGCCTTTGTTCCTCCAATGGCCCACATTCAACTAGCTCTGCCAAGCTGGCCTGCCTCGGTAGCATAAGCTTAACCCAGAGAGCTTTGCATGTTTGGCATAGTTTAGTCAAATTTTGAATTATGGGAGACTTACACCCACAAACTCTGGCACCCGCAAACTATAACATTATAAATGCTTTTGTTGCCCCCTGGGGCTTTATCCACCTATACTGGACACAGTTAAGGTTGAAAGCTATTTAGAAGTGTTGGATTTATAATAAAATTAATATGACTCACCCATATGCTGTTGCTTACATAAGTAAAATTGCAATTTTCAAAAGCTATGGGGTGGGGGGGGGAATTCATCTAGTTCTAGGACCAGCTCAAATAAGTACAGGAATGAATAAAGATCTTGACTTGTCGGAAAAGGGGGGGGGGAATGGGGAGAGTTAGTTTCACTCAGAAATCTTATCAGTGTAGACAATGTTTGGTGACCTGTTTATTCATGTCTTCTATTCTCCAACTACTCTGTATTGTTTTTAGTGGCTCCAATAAAAGCTCTCTGCAGTCAGCGTTTTGATGACTGGAAAGAAAAATTTGGACCCATTGGACTCGTCTGTAAGGAACTAACAGGAGATACGGCAATGGATGACTTATTTGAAATACAACATGCTCACATTATTTTGACTACACCAGTAGGTTCCACAGTCCAATTAATTGCATTTGAATTTTTTAAAATGAAGATACTTAACTAGACATAAATAATTATTTCGTACGAATGCTGTTGTTTACGTGTAAACATTTTCCATCAGTTTCTGATGCTAGGAAATGACTGGAAAACTTCAGAATCACTTGAAAAAAATATTTTAGTTTTATCAAGCAGTTTGATTAATTTATAGTTTATCAAAATGTATTATGTTTGTTTTGTGCGGCATTGTATGAGAAACCTTTATTCCTATGCCAAATTTCATGTGCTCTGATAGTATCATTTATACAATAATTCATTTTAAAAACTTAGGAAGGAGAATTAAATTGCATACTTTATTGGATTATGGTGAAAGATTTACTGCTTGGGGGTTTGATCTACACCATTTCTAACATAAAAATGTCCTTAACTTGGAACAAGGACCTACCAGAGTAGTCTTTTACTTCAGCATTGAATAGATTGATAATAGCATTCTTTTCATAAGAATAGCAATATACATCACCAAATACTACTCTCAGAAAATCTCATTAAAAGTTAACGGAGGAATGATAGTGGAGGACTGCACCATTAATATGAATAATAATTATTATTATTTTGTTTGTTTTTCTACTAGGAAAAATGGGATAGCATGACTAGAAAGTGGCGAGATAACTCTTTAGTTCAACTAGTGAGATTGATCCTCATTGATGAGGTAAAGTAATAACAAGTTTTTTTAAAATGCAAGTGATTGAAAGCAGGGGATTGTACTTCATATACAATTGTGTTTAACTCAATAGGTACATATTGTGAAAGATGAGAGCCGTGGTGCTACTCTTGAAGTTGTTGTCAGTCGGATGAAAACTATTCAGTCTTCTCTTTCACGTGGCTTTGAGAATCCTGACTCAGTACTTCTCATGAGGTTTGTGGCAGTTTCTGCCACAATCCCAAATGCAGATGATGTAAGCAAAGTTAATAACATTTTATTTCTAGAATTCAAAATGCTGAGGTGTTCCTCCCCCCTCCTATTCAGCTACACACACACACACACACACACTAGATCAAAATGAGATAAGCACCGTCATTCGTCCACCGACCCACGACAAACATGAATAAGCTAGGATTGTCATATTTCAAAAAGTAAAAATCAGGACACTCTGAAAGTTGTTGAGCTCCCCCCCCCCCCGAATCTATTGATTGCTCACACCTCAATGCTACATACCTTGCATTCTGCTGGTCTTAGTTTCAATCCCTGGCATTTCCAGTTAAAGTAGGGATGGGGAAGCTGTGACACTGCTTGTTTTGGACTACAATTCCCATCAGTCTGGGATATGTTCA